AATTTAACTAATAGATTGGATCTTTAGAGGTTAAAAATAAATATTGATTATGATAAACAACTTTATTTTATAATATAATTAAAAAATGTGATTTTTTTGTTTAGTTTTTATATAGCCGCCAAATATCCGCCTAGGCCGCGTAATCGTCTGTCTAGACCGCATAAACGTCCGCCTAAACCGCATAAACATCCGCATTTTCAATAAACGCATAAATCACCGAATAACCTAAAATCGGGGTGCCCGACATCTGTGTAGCGCCTGGGCGCCGCCTAGACGCCCGCCTAGTCTGCGTTTTAGAACACTGGTTTCAAATCACTTTAATATAAAAAAATATTCTTGGGGAAGTGCTAATTATAACCGGAATATTCTAGTTTATTACATGGAAGAAACTCCACAAAACTCATTTTGAAAGGTCTAACTCAAAACTAGAGCAAAATATATTTTAAGGAATTAATTAGGGCTCTAATGTTTAAGATTACTATAAATTGCAAAACATTTTGATAAAAAGGTTTGTATTGAGACCAGCAAAGGCATGTCGTCTCATTTTGGTTTGTTTGAATTGTTTGAGGTATCTCTTTGAGGAGATCAATTTCGATTAATTCAAACTCAGTTGGATATTAACGAATTAATTTAGCTATAAAATCGCAATAGAGAACCTGTTTCCGATGTCCGAACAACTAGTTGATCCTAACTCGTGGCATTTTCTTATTGGATGTAGGAGTTGACTATTGCAGACAACTTGTGGATTCCACACTGTTAAGTTAACAGTCAACACAGAAACGAAGCGAACATGGCCGTTGACTTTACACGCACCATCGGTTACCTAAAGTCAACGTCTTTATTTTATGACAAAAAATTGAATTTTGGGGTTTCCTTACTTTAAAACGAATATTTCTGACGATCATGTGGGGTTTTTTATGTAATGCTCATTGCTCACATCATCTCACACTTATCGAGCTAATTTTTCTTTATCGAGTTGAACTAAAAAACGATGGCTTTCAATTTCACTTCTTTGTAATGGGTTTACTATTTATAATAAGACACTGAACAAAACTTTCTTCCTTGAACTGATATGTTCGTGATGATAATTGATACACATGCAGGCTCTGAATATTAGTCAGAGAATCAAACTCCTCGGATGAGAGCAATTTTTCAAAACCACTTTAAGATCCGAATAATCAAAATAAGATACAAGAACAACAAACCATAATCTTCTTTGAATCCATGCCTAAAAAATTTCGGTCACCGGAAAATTTTCCTTAACACAGACGAGTACAGACACTTATCTAGCATAATTGAAGATCAATACCTCGAGTAATCAAACAAATCATCGTTTTTTGAAACCATATTTCTTACGTTCGTAGAACAGATCAGTTTTCGCACTCCCAAGATTGACAATCTTAGGGCAACCATCTCTATCTTTCTCCTGTTGTGTACACTCTTTGCAGTAGTAAGCATCCGAGATTCCAACCCCTCCGCATATGACGCACCGTCCTTGGAATGAACCATAGTTGCATTCATCACAAATCCGAACCAGTGTACACGGACGCACATAGGAATCGCATATCACGCACTTGCCATCACATTTCTCGCACAATCGGCCAATGGCAATGCCCGGTTGTTTCCTGCACATGATCAAATCAGGATGATGCTTGGCCATGGCTGCTGAAACAACTTTCTTAGTCCTCTAGTAAGATTTTGACCTGCTATAAGTTTGTTCGCAAAGTAAAGGAAAACACTTAGTGAAACAGAGATATACAACAGCTTCTGAGAAAAGAACCAAATTGAAAAATGCGTAACCAAGAGGAAAGCTTAATACCACAGATTTTAGTTTTCTTTTTTACTATGTCGTTTCTCGTAGGAATTTCATCGAACACCTAGTAGACAGCAGTTCTATCTACAATTCCACTCAAATAGAAACTTCTTTTTCAAGCCGATTCTAGCTAACTCAATGCATATAAAGTAAAATCCACTGCAATTTGAACGAAGAATCGAAACGACAAGGAAATAACAATTCGGTGAATCAACACAAAATCGATTTAAGTTTCAGTGTGCACGCCACAAAGCTTATCAACTAACGCAATAGAAATTACACTCAGAGAAGCCATAGATGATCCAAACGGAAGCTGTTTAAGCTCGAATAAACATAGATACTACCACAAACCCTAAGAATTCAGAGAAACATAAAAACACAGAACATAAAATCTCAGAAGAAGCTATCACGCATAAATTCGAAGTCGAAAAAGAAACAAAAGAAAACAGGATCTAACCTGACCTCGAAGAAGAAGGTGTCACGAGCAAAGAGCTACCAATCCCCCGATCTCCGATATGAACAGAAAGCGGCCGATTGAGATACGAAAAGAATCGGGTCGGGTTCTAAGATACCACAAAATATCCATATCCATGTCGGTCTCACTAGTATGGGCTATTTGACTATGGGCCTTTTTTACCTTTTTGATGGGCTTTCTTATTTAGGTGTGGGTTTGTTCTCATAATTAAAAACACGAGTCAAATCACATATTTACTCCTTCCATAAAGGTGAAGTAAACACGCACAAGGGAAAAAGAACAAAACGCCATGGTGCAAACTACTAAAAGACTAGTTCTAAATCAAAAACAGGACTAGTTTCAGCTAAAGCTTCCATCTTCTCTGGCAAGGTGAGCTCACAAGGGAGTCACGTGAGCCGTCTCGTCTAAGAAGAGGCACCCGAATACATAATTGAAGAAATCTCGGCCTTTAACGGTAACTTCGCCTTCCATGGTTTTCATGTCGTAGGTGCAAGCCCTCATGCAATCAGGACAGTAGGTAACCTGTGTATGTAGCATAGAAAATCATTGATAAGAGACTTTGCAATTTCCAAGAGCTTGATTATGACAAGGGAACCAATATTTCAGGTGGTTTAAGTGACAAACCTCCAAGATTTTTGGTTGGAAAGAGCTATCGAGCATTACATCTACTCCATACATTGCCCTAGATTTGGGAGATTGCATCTCAGGATGCATGAGAGCTGCTGCCTCAAACACTTCCCGTATCAATTGCTTCACCTTCTTATGGATATCCAGCCATTTCACTATCGAGAGTATAATTGTGTTATTGATAAAATAAGAAACGCACAAAGAAATGGAGGAAGGAGACCCAAATGCAGTGTCTACCGTTATGTTCTTGTTCAAACTCTCTCACAAACTCTGCTGTGGACTTGTGATTCAACTTCCGACCATAGTTCTGAAACGCATAAGGGAATGGATATGGAAAAACAGAGCACGTTAGTTGTTGTTATATAAGATGTTGCAATCTTTGTCAGAACTGAATCACTATGTGGAAAGAAGAAGAAATACCATGACAGTGAAGTGAGTTTCATATTCAAAGAAACTGTGCTTTTCCAATGAATATGGGTTGTTAGACAACCTAACCTGAAATCAAACAAGTAGGATTCGCACATGTGTTCTTTAACCAATACGAGTAAATCATCACTTATATTGGCAGCTATGAAGTAACTAAATAAGCATTACCCAAAAAATATCTGTCAGGTAAATCTCCAGAGGGTCAATACTCCGCAGTAGGACAATGTATCGCAGATCAAACTTCTTCCCCTGGAACAAAGCAGGGTGCTCTATGTACTTCTGGCAGATCTTGGGACCCGTTTCCATCATCCGGATGATAGCAGATAAATTATCAGTTATACTTGTGTCGATTGTCCGTGCCATATTCCATGGTTTCAAGATCCACAAATTGTCCAACTGATCACGTTTGCGTACACAATAGTCCCCGATAAACTCAGTCAACTGTGTTTCAAGATTGTATGTAGGTTGTAACCATTTTGGAGATCCATAAGCCTGTATAGCAAAACACGGAAAGCTAAATCAGCTAATTTTTTACACCTTAATGTATACACCCTTGTGGCTGCAAAGAAACAGATTTAATACACAAGTTTTACTAATAATATTATGGTATAATCTGCTGAACTTACCATTTGAATAGTCACCGCAAGATGATGCTTCATAACAAGACAAGCCTCAAAGGGAAACTGATTTATGTATTGGTCATCTGTTATTCCCACCGCCCTTTTTAGCTCCTCGTCCACCTGCATACTCGTCCATATAATGTCTGCATCTTTTGGTTCATTTGCTGCAAAAAGACAAGTCACACAACTCAAAAACCAACAAAGAACCTTGATTCCTCTCATGTGTATAACATCTTTTCCAATATTAAAGCTGGATTTTCTCCACAATCTACGAACGAAATGTAATTTAAAATCTGCGACGTTTTTGGTAAGATCAAAGTCGCATTGTATATGCATCCCATAAGGAGTTCATCCTCAAATAAGACGAGAGCTAGGAATTTATCACGAAAAGTTGATTAAATCACATACTGAGCAAAAATTCTGGACGTGTCAGAAATTCTTCAACTTGAGGTAGATCCGTGTGCACCAGCAAAGGAGATCCATCACTATGGCGTATGCTTCGGGAAACTGAAGGTTTAAAAGGTAGAGAATCAAAGGCTTTTGCCTGCAGTTTTTGTTGGTATTTCTCAAACTCCTAAAAAATCAATACAAGGAATCTGTTAATGAACAGAAATCTTAGCAACCAACGAGACAAAATGAAACCTGTTAATGGACAGAAAGAGAAAAGGGACACCAAGGAAGTACATGAATAAAGTATTTCTCAGGAGTTTGAAACCAGGCTGTGAGCCTGGCAGACCGCTGTTTGTCTTCCCCAATACCAGATAGAAAATCACGAGTGCACTCATCACCTCTCTGACAATTTTTAATAGGCCACATTATCGAATAGCTGTAACATAGAAAACCAAACCAACACATGCATATATCAGAAACATAAAAAAGTAACACTGTAGAAAATGTTAGCATACAAGATATATGAGCCCTGACCAGAACACGCATGGGAAAAAGTGAAAATTTATACCTCACAGCAGAGTCTAGATTCCCAGAAGGCATGAAAAGGAAAGGAGCAACTTTGAAATTGGGTGCATCGCTATGCGTCAAAGCTGAACCCAGTTCATCCATCACATACCTGCAAAAGGAGATATCATTGCCCCTTAAGTCATCAGCATCCAACAATCACAAACACAACATTAGTATTAAACAATGTTTGCATTGATGAGCCTTAAAACTACAGAACTGTTATGCCTAAAAAGCCCTACAGGTATTGGTGACTGGATTTGAGTCATCCCAACTTATAGCAATATCATTAAATATGTCCTGATTAGATTCCCTTCCTTAGTTTCTCAAATTTATCTATTTAAATGAAATATGTCAGGTCTTTACAATTTTATACAAGGAGCCAAAAAATCAGTCATGAGGTTTTCTTCTGTCAAACAAATACGTCGTGGTAGTTCTAAAATAGCAAAAAAAGAAAACATTGCATACCATAGGGAAGTTTCATCAATCTTTTCCTCATCTGCGAGGCGATAAGTCATCATATACAACCACATTGCACCAAGAACACGGTCAACAAGATTGTCCTCAGGATTCAGCTCAGGAAGGCGTGGTTCAAGCACCGAGTCAACAACATGCTTTCCGTTCTCTAATATTTTAGCTGTATCAACGCCATTTAACAAAGAAAGATTTGGGAGAGATTCAAGAATCTTTACAGCACTGCTTCCAAGAGGTCCAGGTATGTCAACCTACACACAAGAAGTAGCATGTTCACACATCTCACCATAAATATACCTTAGGTTCTATCAAAATATGTAAGGGCAACTTCCAACAATACCTCTAAGGAAGACAGCGAAGGGAAGAACCTCAAGATTTCAAACAATTCTCCAACAGAATTCTGACTCAATGGATTTCCACGGATATCTAGATGAGATAGTAATGGCATCTCATCCACAGAGAATGCCTGAAGATGAACAAAAATGGCAAATGTAGACAAATCAGAGACTTAAAAGGATATGTATATGCAAGAGTTCTATAGGATACAAAATTGCTCGTATATTCATCAAAAGTTGTTCTCTCTTCAATCAATTAACTACACTCTCCGTCTTTCTTAGAGGAGATAAGGGGATAAGATTGACCTTATTGACTAGATTATGTATTGCCCGGTTTGAAAGGTCAAGTGAGGTGACATTACACAAAGGTTGATCCTGCTGAACACAACCAGGATAATCCTTCGTAAAGATATCTCCACAGAAACCAAGTGCCCACAACCCGTAATTAGGGGTAAAACACGAGTTGTAGATTTCCAGACTTGGACAGGCTTGCGGTATTTCATCAGCCATCAGATGTTCACTGAAACCCATTAAATACATGAGAAATCTATTATAGTATCCCTACCATCCAAATGTGTTTTTAATGGATAATTACCTCTTCTGGAGAACAGGATTGTCATTCAGCCACAAAGCCTTCAGATTCTTAAACTTCATTACCTCTTGTATAACCACATCTGCACTCTCGATTTTGTTCCCGATAAGACTAAGCGCCAGTAAATCCTACCCAAAATTTTTGGCAGAAGCACAACAAAGAAGCGTTAGAATCTACATATTTGTATAACTCATTGCTGTGAGTCTGCAACAGATTATATAAATATGGTATGCAACTAAACCGTCACCATCTTAGTTAAAGAGTAGCATGAGAGTAAAAGAGAAGAAAAATGCTAAAGGCGTGCCTGAAATTTACTAGGCAAATGTAGGGACTCCAGTGAGTCATCAGCTATTCCAAGACCCTCCAACTCTAACCATCTTAAAGTGTCATATCCTTTCTCCGCTGCATAGCGAGTTTCACTTTCTATTATCTGATCAACAGAGAGATCCTCATTTTTCTCTGTGACTTCTTCTTCTCCAGCATTCCCCTCTACATCGGTGTCAACACACATCAAAGAACCCATCCTCTCAGCTAATCCCGGAATTTCCTGAAGCTGAAAGTAACCAAAACAAAAAAAACCCGGTGAATTATTCTCTCAGAACAACTTCAATGTAGAAAACATAAGCAAAGGCGCAAACTTTAAGCTTACAGAAACAAACTTGCAACTTTTTCTGACATTTCAACAGAACATTTTTCGTTTGAACGGCCAAAGTTACATAGAACTAACTCATACCGACTGGTAACAAAGAACAAATCAAACTTGTACCATATATGAAAAAGTTAAAAGTAAAATAAAACAGCTTCATGAAGCAGTTTATCAAATGGGTCTTTACAAGCTAATTTTATTGATCCACAGTGTGCAATCCCAAAATTCAATTTGAGAGTAGATGTGTACAAGACAGACCTGCTTACAGGCATCGGGAAGACGAAAAGTCCAGGCGTGATCGACAAGGAAGACGTCAGAATCAACATGCATAGATTCTGAAGTGAGAACAAGGCTCCGCCGCCGACCATCATCGCAAGGTTCTATCTGGAAGTGAGTGCCGCCATCAAAAGTATCGGAAGGAAGTTTGTGAAAGAGGCGTGAGTAAAGTTTCTGAGGTAACCCTGAAGCAGCCAAGAGTATTCCATGAACCTCGACGAAATCATCCAAGCTCTTGATTTTCTGCATTTTCAATTTGCCCCTTGTTCCTCTCAGGGTTTCAGAGTCCACACTTCTTTGTCTCTCAAACTGGGTTGTATAATGTATAAGAGAACAAATTAAAAGATTGTTTCTGTACAATGCTATAAGTTTGTTTCACAAAGTAAAGAAAACACACGTCTATATCATTTATAGATAAGGCTAAATAGAGATACACACCAGCTTCTGAGAAAAGATCGAGATTGAAAAATGCGTAATTTATTGACAAAGAAATCAAGAGGAAAGCTTAATACCACGAGGTTTTTTTACTGTTTTATTTCTCAGGGGAATTTCAACAAACAGCTCGTAGACAAACAGTTCTATTTACAGTTCCACTTAAGTCAAAACTTCTTTAAAAGCTGATTCTAGCTAACTCAATGCAACTAAAGTAAAATCCACTGCAAATTGAACGGAAAAAAAAAACGAAGCAACAAGGTGAATAACAAACCGGTGAATCAAACACAAAATCAATTTAAAGTTCCAGTGTGCAGGCCACAAAGCTGATCAACTAACGCAACAGAACTTACACGTAGAGAAACCAGAGATAATCCAAACGAAAGCTGTTTGAGCTCGGAAAAATATAGATACTACCACAAAATCCTTACAATTCAGAGAAACAGAAATAAAGTCTCAGAAATATCTGTCACGCATAAACTCGAAGTACGAAAATAAAAAAAAGAGAAAAGAGAATCAAACCTGACTCTGA